CTTTAGTAAAGGTTTCAATGAATGTGTTTTCTGCAAAAGGTCTAAAACTTTATAACAATGTAAATTTTTCTAAATGGAAGCATAGTGATCTTCAATAATTTTTAAAATTATTGAAGAGCTATCATGGTTTTAGTAAAAAATTTCATTAAATAAAGAAAAAGTATTATAAAAATTTATCTATGTTTGGAGTATTGTAAATCTTTCTGACAATACAAGAATTTATTGCGAGCTTAGCAATTTTAAAATTACCAATTTTCGTCTATTGATTACTTCTGCTTTTTTATAAAAAAGTTTTTTATGTAAATACTATTTGAGCTCAATTGTTTTTATAGTTATTGGGAGAAACTTATTTTCTTGTCTACATCTACAAATTAATTTCAATTTTTTGTTTAGTAAGCATTCTGGTTCGTATGTGTAACTATTTCAAACTTTTCCTGAAAACATAATATGCATTTTTTGGATATATTGTTATATGTAAGTGCTGTTTTAAGGATGGAGCAATTTAATATAAAGACATCAATATTTTTATCTTTTAACTCCCATATGTACTTTGACAGCATAATGTCTTTTGTATAGTATTTATTTTTTAGGATTGCATAACTAAATGATCATAAATACTTTTTTTCCATTCAACCTGTGTTAAGCCAATAAACTGTTTATGGAAATTGAACCTGCACCTCTATTACCCACGCCTCAAAATTAGAGGCTTATAGCACCCAATTATATAAATAAGACTACACAATTAAATAGACAAGACAAAAATTCAATTATTTTAAAATTTTTTTAATAGTTTTTTACGTAAACATTAATTAAACAAGCGTACAAAAAATGTAAGCCTAAATGTAATGATAACATAATTTGTACAAACGTAAGTTTGAACAAATAAAGAGATCCTAAAAATAAAACATTAAACATAAAAAAAATCTACCTTAGGAGAACTTAAACCCGCAACACTATTAACCGTACTTAAAAAGAAGAGCGTTACACACACAACACTACGCAAATATATTAATGACTTATAAAAAATATATCAAATTTGAGAACAGGTTATTTGATGAAAGGTTCTGGTCAAGTAAAAGAAAAGATTTAAACAAAATAAAAAAAAAAAAAAGATAAGTTTGTTCAGCCGAAAGAAACTGGTTAGGTTAAGTTAGTGTATTTTTGGTCAATATTTTAAGTCAGTTCCTTTTAGTTATATTTTATTCAAATAAAAAGTTTTTGATAAATATCGTAATGTAACGCTAATCATAATAAAGTAGGCTACATCTTTCACATTAAAAAAAATATTTTTGTTCGATGACATTTTTGTGAGGATAAAAGTATTTTTTGCTGCACGAATTTGAAGAAGCCATATTTGCTCATTCAAGTAATTTTAAATAATAATCTTGATTCAAAATTGTAAAAAATACACTTAAATAGAGGTTTTTACTGAATCTATTTGCAAAATATTTGTTTTATTATTTTGTTAAACAAGTTGTTTGGTATATTCTCTACGGGCATTTTTTTTTAAAAGTTACGTTCTAAATGTCTCTTAGAACGGTCTATAGCTTTATCAGTTATAGCTGAAATGTTATTGGTTCAATCAATTGAGGGTGTTAAAATTTAGGCTATGCTTTGACAAAAACCTTTATAATTCTTATTGCTCAAAACTAATTGAAATAACAAAGAAAAAACCGGAGCATTTGTTTAAGATTTTAAAGAGTGATGGAAACCTGATGAAGCGTTACCTTAAACTTTTAATATAATTGAAAAATATTATAAAATCTACAAAAAGCAATACAATGAGGACAAAATTGATACTTTTAAAGCTTTATATATTTGGAACCTCAATGAATGTGTTTTAGTGGTGATTTAAGAAATATTTCAATTTTATGCTAAAAAATTACAATGCGCGCTCCTAAAGTTTAAACAAACAATATGAAAATTAATTACATCATAAACAACTGCATCAATGTATCAGGCTCCTACTTACCTCTTTTTGATGTTTACAAATCAAAATAAAATTTATATTAATCATAGTGAAAAAATGGTCCACCCGGCACAGTTTATACAAAATCAGTCTTAGGATGGATAAAAAACAACAAATTATTAAGTGGTTGGATCGGCTGTTCAAACCAGCAGTTCAATGTATTAGCGTAGAACACAATCTTGTATTCAGTGGTCACAGCACTCCGGTGTCATTAAATTATGTGTCATTAAGAGCTAGTTAAATATGTAAAAATAACAACGTGCGATTGATCTGCCAACCAGCTCATTTAAGTCATTGTTTGCAGCCACTGGACATCGGAATGTGACGTTTAAAATACTTTTAAAAACGTATTAAAATCATAATACGAATTAACAAAATGCAAAAATATTAACTAAGCTGATTTTAAAGTATATTTTAAGTTTTATATGAGAGTAGTAAATACTTTAACAGAAAATACACAGTCAGTGCGTTTTCTTTTAGCTCTTTTATTAAATATAATATCGACCTTTCAAAGTTGATAATAACATAAACATTTGAAGATCCAGCACAAGCATCATCAATTTTTTAACACTCAAGTCAAATATTTAATTAGAATATTATAGCAAAACATAAATTTCAATTAATATTGGGTTAGAATCTGCAATGAAACATATCTGCAATAACTCTGGTAAACATCTCCATTTATCGAAAAGAAACTTTTAGTAAGAATATTAGGAGAAGCTTTAACTGCCAAACATGGAGAAAGTTCGAGTAATTGATGGAAAAAAAACAACCTACAAAACGTAACATAACTTATATTTATATATCAATTACATATCTTACAAATAGTGCCATGGTTCCTACTCTTGCAATCTATTACTACTTGTCCCATCAATAAAAACTCGAATTTTTGTACTAGTCATTTAAATATATTGTCCCCACCAGGGCTGTCCTGAACGAGGGGTGTAGGGGTTATACCACCTCCTCAAAGCTGTCATATAAGCATTTGAGTAAGCACATTGAGCAATTTTTGAACTATAGTTGGCAAACTGCAAATATGAAGGAACTTTTTTTTTTTTGATGTCTCTATTTGGGAAAAAAAACATACAACTCACCCATGGAAGACCTCTTTGGGACAGCCCTAGCCCCACACCTACAGTATTTGTATTCCTTTGTGCTCAAAAAACTTTTATTAAGCTAGTTTTTTTATACTTAATACAAAATATACTTTGTATTCATGTTTCCATTATTGTGTCTAATTTTTAAGTCTTTTTTCAACCACTTTCTTGCTCTTTAATATCTGTTAACTCCCAACAAAGCTAGTGGTTGCTTGTAGGAGTTAAACTTTCTTTTTTTCTTGAATTTATTTGTTTTAAAATAATAAATTTAAAAAATTAAAAGTCAGGGTTAATGTTTAAAATGTTAAAAGGTTAAAAGCTTAAAATTAAAAAAATAATAATAATAATAAATATATATATATATATATATATATATATATATATATATATATATATATATATATATATATATATATATATAATATATATATATATATATATATATATATATATATATATATATATATATATATATGTATATATATATATATATATATATATATATATATATATATATAATTATATATATATATATATATATATATATATATATATATATATATATATATATATATAATTATATATATATATATATATATATATATATATATATATATATATATATATATATATATATATATATATATATATATATAATTATATAAATATATATATATATATATATATATATATATATATAATAATATACATATATATATATAAATATATATATATATATATATATATATATATATATATATATATATATATATATATATATATATATATATATATATATATATATATATATATATATATATATATAGAGAGAGAGAGAGAGAGAGAGAGAGAGAGAGATTTTGAAACTTTCAGGTTTCGTTTGCGCAATTGCTCAAGCTCTTTTTAAACTAACGAAACAAATTAGACTTCAAAGTAATGTCATACTTTACTCAAGTTTGCTTCTTGTATTCCACCACTAGCCCTCTAAATTTTTTACTGAATCGGTGTAATAAACTTTTCATAGTGAGAAAATCACAACCTTCCCTAGTTTGTAATTAAACCATATATTTATATTTTATAATTTAATTTCATAAGAATCAAAGGTTTTGCTGAAAAGTTTATACGTTTTAGAAAACCTAGATTATTGTATAACTTCTATATTTTTCATCAAATTTTGAAAAACATACATTAACTTTTTTTAGTTCTCCGGTCCATTGACAACTTTTCAAAAAGTTATCACATTTAACTTTTAATTGCAGAATCGCTCTTTCAGTAAATTTATCAGGAAAAACCTGAAAAAAACATTATATAAATTTTTCTTAAGAAGCATTTTTTTAAATAAATATATTTAGTTAAGTTGACTAAATAATAAAATAACTTTAAAAATAAAGTAACCTTCTCAGAACTTAAAATGGTTTTGTCTAATGGGCAAATTAAAACTCCATTATTTCTAAAGAAAAAAAGTTTTTTATTCTATAATTATCTATGGTATATAAATAATAGTGTCAAATAATTGATAAAGACTTCATTAACTTAACTTAATTTAAGATTAACATTAACTTAAGATATCAATTGTTAAGTCAACGTAAAAGGTGTAATGCAAGCATAATAATGCCTCTCTCTCACTCTCTCTTTCTCACTCTATCTCTCTCTTTATCTAGCTTTATATGTATATAAATATTTATATCTAAACAGCATTAAATGTTTAATATTATGCATGTCACGTTACTTAGTTTTCAACCCAAGTTAATACCTTTTTTTTATTTCTTCTGAGCATGAAAAACAAAGTCGATGACCACACAGTGTTAGAATTGGTTCACGAAGAGCCATTTTACACACAGGGCATTCATATTCGTCTAAAAGTTCATGCAAAAAATGCACATTATATCCACCACACTCTTGCGTATCCAAGCTTTCCATTTAAATTTTGATTGCTTTTAAAAAAACATAAAAATGCTGTTTATAATAAGGTTCCTTTTTATTATTTATAAACTTTTTTTTAATTGAATTTTAATAAAAATAAAACTTGGTTTTAAGCAATTGTACAAATTTAACTACGGCATCGCATCCAGACACTTTATTGTAAGTTAGTGTTTAATTAAGTTTCTTGAAAGTTATTACACTATTTGCCATTGGAAAGTTTTTGATAAAAAAGCGCGTTTTGATTATTAAATATTTCATTAAAAATCATTATAGTTACACAATAAGTTGTTTTCGTTATTATAAATGACGTCTGTTACTTTAAAAACGTTGTTATGTATATGTATAGAAGTTATGTATATGTATAGAAGTTAGGGTAAGGTTGCCGATATTGTACTCTCCAAGCATAAAGTCAAAAATTGGGAAAAAATACTAAGCAGAAACAATGAGACTTTATTGTATTTTATAATTTGGGGATAAACTGTTCTAAAAGAGTTGAAATATTCCAATAATTAAACGTTGGTATTTGGTAGGGAATTAAATTTTAAAAAACATGCTATTTTATCAAATTAAGGAAACAAGATCCTAAATCGTACTAATTTAATCCAATATTGTACCTTTATTTTGATTTTACAAATACTATAATAATTTACGGTACATTTTTAATGATTTTCGGAAAGAGCTTTTTTTGTGTCAAGCAATATAAAAAAGTTTAGAATTTAAATTATGAAACTGTAAATCTTTCCTGGAACAGTCTAAAAACAGGAACCATCAATAAGATATAACTTTTATATTAAATGCATCATATCATCAGAAATGCGATAGGTTGAATTTTTATAGTGAAGTGATTGATATTACTGCATATTATTTTGATAATACAAATCAGAAAATTTTTGTTCTCAACAAAAGTTACAAACATTCAAAATTCAAAATAGCAGCCTAAGTATAATTTAAGGCCTTATATGAGGCACAAATTAGCGACTAAGCTCACTTTGACTTTATAACGAAATCAGACAACAAATGCTACTATATTTTAACTTCTAGGAAGTTATTTTGAATTCACATAAATGGCGCTTTCACATAAATATTATAAAAAAAGACATATATTTAACAGTTTTAAAGTAATACTCTAAACATTGAACCGCCAAAATAAGAAAGCTATGGCATCATATTAACTAGAGGTAAATGTTGCCAGAACCTAGTTTCATATAAAAAACACACAATTGATTCCAAAGTTTAACACAGCAAAGATAAAACTTTAATCAAAAGATATTTTTTGGATTGTAAAAATAACTAGATATAGCAAAGTACGATTTAGGCGCCGGTACAATATCGGCAACCGTACCCGTACCTTATGTTTTTTTTAGTAAAAATACATTTTCAGAAAATTTATCAGTTTTTCTTCATACTTTATTTTGACTTCAACACGGTAAAACAGCTGTGGCTTTTAATATATTCAAATCAGACAGTTTGATTCTGATTGGTTTTTACATATATCGTCAATTAAAGGTGTCCTTTATTTTACTAAGTAGCATTTTTACGACGGTAGTAAAATTGTGATAAGTTTAAATCAATTTGACATTTAACTTACTTTTCAAGCACACGTAAGGAGAAAGTGAAAAAAAATTGCAACAAATCACAATTTTTTCAAAAAGATGTATGATTTGTACCACAATGTAAGAGCTCCCATGCAAAACCAATAATTACCAATAACAAGACTTTGTGTACTGTGTGTAACAGATTAATTGTCGTTGATTTTTAAATGATTCTTGAGCAGTATCAGTCTTTATATAAATGTTTTTACAAAAAAAAAATTACTAATATTGTGCAAAAGCAGACAGATTCTGCATAGCATTTTGTGCAAAAAATTAAACGATTCCAATAGTCAATCAAATTGATACCAACAAATAACGCAATGTTTACAACTTCAAAAACTGAAAATTGTCGTGAAAACGTTAATAGCTACTAACTTCACTTTGCATTTTTTTTAATTTTTAAATTGTTGCGAATTCTAAGATAACATATGGATGTTGGTTTGATGTCTTGCCGACATCTTTTATTACCAATATTAGATTGGCATCTTTTCACTTCGTCAGGCCGATGCCAGCCCGATAAACAAAATAAATCAAAAGTTTTTCATCGGCAAACGACATTGGCTTTATGTTTGCAAACGCACCATAAAATAACCTAATATTCGAATGTTTACTATGTGTTAAGAATAAAATACTAACAACGCGTATTTTAATATTTCTTTATATATTTTTGACCACACGAAAAGGTATTCTTAAATCTTTATAATCGTTTAATATCTACTTAATCGGTAATAAAATCTAAAGCTTTTATATTAGATAATAATTTTATAACTTCTGTTGTAAAGACAAACCATATGTTATTTTTAAATTAGTATAGTAACTTATAAAATCAGGTAATTTATTTAAATCATGAATTTTCATAAAAACACATTTTAAGTCCTTTCTCAATTGTATTTAAAGTATATTACACTGTAATTTTTGTTTTTGAGATATCAAAGACGATGCTCTTTTCAAAGGTCAAACACTTGATAAAGTTGGTGTTTATCTCCAAACCCCTGGCATCTCACACAGTGGTGGCCTTAGCCTTCTTGCCGCCCTCGTGCGAAAACTTTTCCTGCCGCTCCACAGTGGGACAAGATCAACATAAAATGGACAACGATTCATAACTCCTTTCATTTTAAAGTTGTCAAATTGAAATTTTTATCAGGCGCCAAATATTTTTTTTTTTTTTTTTGAGAGTATGAAAATATATAAATTTATAGGAATAATTATATAAAAATTTGTATACTTATTTATATAAAAATTAGTCTATAATATTTAAATATAGTCTATAATATAAAAACCATAATTACACAAAAAAAAATTATTATTTTTCTTTAATTTATTTATTGTACAATTTTAAAAATGTTTCAGCCAAATAAAAAAAAATCATGTTTAAAGTTTTCCGCTAACCAATTATTGACATTGTCTAGTAAAGTTGGTTTTACTTGCGGCGCAAAAAGGAACCCATTCAAATAAAGAAAAGAATCTTTGAATCGAAATTAATTTCTAAAGATAAGCAAACATTTCTTAAAAAAATCGTTTGTGTTTTAAATAAGAAATTTTATAAAAGCGTTTAAATTAAAAAAGTTTTCTTTATAAATTAATTTAGAAATTAATGCTTTAAAATTAGTTTTTTTTTTGCGTTAAATATTTTTTCGTTCTAAAGTGTTTTAGCGCTCTTATTTCAGAGTTTCAATAATTTTTTTTTATGATATAAAGTTATCTAACTATTGCTATAAAATTATTTATAATATTTATTGGTTTCTTTCAGAATAATGGAGAATAATGGAGAAAAGAAAATTTCAGGTTGGGAATTTAAACAAAAACGCCTACGAAAAGGGGAACAATTGAAATCAAATCAAACATCTTTTAACAATTTTTTATTAAAAACTCATCATGATAAAATGGCCAAAAAAAGTCAATTAATTCGTAATATAATATATAATCCATTAATTCATAATATATTCTGGAAATGAAATCAAATCAACTGAATCTACTAATTCAGTTAAAACTATTCAAACAATTGAAAGATTGAATGAAACTGCGGCTACTTAAGAATACTTTGATGATATTAGCGATTGGCAGGAAAATTTTAACATTGATTTCATACAAGATGCTGTTATAAAAGGTCCTAACAGTTTCAAAGAAGGTTCTAATAACTATTCAAGAAATGTTGATAATTTGAGTTTTTCAAATCATTATTTTTACCACGTCATGGATAATGGTGAAAAAAAATCATAGAACGTGGTTAGTTTATACACAAAAAGCAAACAAAGTTTTTTGTTTTTGTTGTAAACTTTTTTGTTTAAACCCTATTATGTTGGCTAAAAATGGTGGTAATGATTGGCGCCATATTTCACGAATCTTAAAAAGACACAAAAAAAGTCTAGATCATTTTAACTGCTACAGCAAGTGGGTGGGTCTGAAAAACAGATTACAAAAAGACACTTTATTTGATAAAATTTTGGATAAAAACTTAATTAAAGAAGTAGAACATTGGGACAATGTAATGAGAAGATTAATTTCTCTAACTATTATGATGGCAAAGCAAAATATGCCTCTCAGAGGCTCTTGTGACAAAGTCTATCATGGTAATAATGGAAACTTTTTAAAAATTTTAGAATTTTTGGCTGAATTTGATCCAGTTATGGAAAAACATTTGCTTAGAGCAAAAAAAAAAACCAAATTCTGTGCACTATTTGGCAAAAGATATTCAGAATAAAATAATTGACTTGATTGGCAAATCCATTTAATTTAAAATTTGATCAAATGTCCAAAAGTCCATGTTTTTTTCAATTATTGTTGATTGTACACCAGATATCAGTCACCAGCAGCAAATGTCAATGCTGGTACGATATGTTGATGTAGAGGATAAGAAGAAATTCACATTACTGAAAGTTTTATTGGATTTTATTTAATTGAAGGTTCGACAGGTCTAGATTTATCAAATGAGATTATTGACTCTCTGGTAAAAAATAACTTGTCGGTAGAAAACATAAGAGGTCAGAGCTATGACAATGGTGCAAATATGAAAAGGACTTGAAATGGTGTACAGGCTTTTATTCTAAAAAAAAACAACCCAGCAGTTTATATTTCATGCTGCAGTCACGCATTAAATCTGGCAGTTGTTGATTCTGTGAGATGTTCACCTAAAACTGCTATGTTTTTCAATATAATTGATCAAGTTTACAATTTTTTTTCTGCTTTAACAAAAAGATTGTTAATTTTGCAATCAAAATGTGTATCTTTAACAGTTAAACCGTTAAGTGATACAAGATGGGAAAGCCACATCAATGCTGCAAAAACACTTCGATTTGAAATGCTAAAAATTTATGAAGCACTGCAAGATGCGGCTAAGACCGCTAATGAAACAATTGCAAAAATCACAGCAGAACCTATTGCTTTAAAAAATAACAAGCTTGTGATCGTTCGTAATTTGG